AAGTCTGGGTCAGTCTCCTGTGGGGTCACTGCTCCTTTCTCTTGGGTCCTGGTGCACACAAGGTTCTGTTTGTGCCCTCCATGAGTCTGTTTCCCGAGTCCTGTGTAAGATCTGGTGGCTGTATGGTCAGGCACAACTAAGTGACTAAACTGATACTGACTGATACTGAAGCTTCTTAGTGCTTTAAGGTTGTTTTTTTGTTGTTGTTGTTGTGTTGTCTTTTAAAATGTTTATTTATTTATTTTTGGCTGCCCTGGGTTTTCATTGCTACTTACAGGCTTTCTCTAGTTGCAGTGAGTGGGCTCCTCATTGCAGTGGCGTCTCCTGCTGTGGAGCATGGGCTCTAGGCATGCAGGCTCAGTAGTTGTGGTGTAGGGCCTCAGTTGCCTTGGAGCATGTGCAATCCTTTCAGACCAGGGAGCGAACCCTCGTTCCCTGCATCGGTAGGCAGACTCCCAACTGCTGGACCACGAGGGAAGATCCTGTGCTTTAAAGTTCACAAGGGCAGAACCCTCATGTTCCTTCTCCAGTCCTGGGCTTCAGTATTAAGAAGCCCTTATGCCTTCATATGCCAGATCTCATGCTCAAAAGCAGTGATTCTGCAGGTGTGGTCCATGGGCCAGCAACATCAACCTCACCTCAGCACTTGTTAGAAGTGCAGACTCTCAGGCCCCAGCCCAGATGATCTGAATCAAAAGCTGTGAGATGAGGCCCAAGCCTCTGTGGTTGAACAATTGCTCCAGGTGATCCTCATGGGATTTCAAATTTGGAACTGGCTCAAGGGCAGTGTGACTTTCTGTGACACACGGTGCTCTGCCATTAAGAAGGTTTGCAATCAAATTGGCAGGTCAGAATCCAAGAGCCTAGATCAGCAACCAAGAGCCTGAACTTGAATGTCAGAGGTTTCCCTGTTCTTTTGTCTATCTCAGCATTCCCCAGCCTCAGAGCACTAACAGCATTTGGGACTGGTTAATTCTTTGTTGCTGTGACTGGTTTCATGCACTGTAGGCTGTTAAGCAACATCACTTGTTTTTACTTCCTAGATGCCAATAATGCTTCCTCCTACCCCAAGTTGTGACAAACTGTCTCTGTTGTTGTTATCATGTCTGACTTTATGTGACCCCATGGACGACATTGTGCCAGGCTCCTTCATCCTCCACTGTCTCCTGGAGTTTGCTTAAATACATGTCCATTGAATTGGTGATGCTATCTAGCCATCTCATCCTCTATCTTCCCCTTCTCCTCCTGCCCTCAGTCTTTCCCATCATTAGGGTCTTTTTCAGTGAGTTGGTTCTTTGCATCAGGTGGCCAAAGTATGGGAGTTTCAGCTTCAGCATCAGTCCATCCAATGAATGTTCAGGGCTTACTTCCTTTAGGATTGACTGGTTTGATTTCCTGGCAGTCCAAGACAGTATCAAATATCCCCTTGGATGCAAGGTCATCACTGGTGGAGGACTCCTGATCTATCTGCATTAGTTGAGAGTGTATCTTACTGACTATTCTCAATGTTCACAAAGTAAATGGTCTTCTATAAAAAAACAACAATAAGGGCCACCTCAAAAATGTTTGGATGGATTCAATGTAAACACTGGAAAATCTTTAGAATCATATGTGTCTTATCAAAGTTGTCATATGAGTTAGGTGTTATTATTAATGTTTTAGTTATTATTGTAAATGAATAAGACATAGAACATGAAAGGTCTATTATGAGTCAGTTATTGTTAATATTACCATTTGTTTGAATTATTAGTCTCCTTATCTCATGAATTGTCTATACGGAAGTGAGTTGTTCTTAATCTATTGTCACTCCTTTCATCTCTTGAAAGACCTGAAATTGCCTGGATTTTACACATGCGCTTCTAGATCTTCTCCCTTTAAGGAGAAAGGATCATAAAGAATTAAATTCTCATCAGTTTTGCTTTAGCACATATTCCTTCCACTTAGAAAAATGTAGTGAGCCTGCTATTACATTCATTTTCCTCACTCTCCTGAAGGGATGATCAGACACATCTGGATAGCTTCTTTTCTCCACCCTCCAAATCTCAGCAATGTACTCTGCACAACCTGTTTTTTATAAAGGAAAGCAGGTTCTATCCTTACCCCTACCTCATCCCATGAATACTGTGGTTCGCATGTGAATAAAGAGACCTTTTTCAGATAAACTCTGTGGAGTGTGCCAGGATCACAGCTGCTACCCATGTCCTTAACTCTGTAACAGCAAACATCTGAATCAAGAGGGAAAGAGTCAGTAAACCATCCGGATGTTGTGTTGATGCTTGGCCATGCATTTAGAAGTTGTGCAACTTCTGGATGACAACCTAGGATTTTGGCTTTCTATGGGGCTCTTTGGTATTGTGTAGACACAGGCCTTATCTTAACATGGCCATAATTTACGAGTTCAGGACTTAAAATTCAATCCAAATCTTTTGGAGACTGAATCTACTCATTCCTGAAAAAACGTTAAGTATGTGTTTTTAAAGCAATAAGACTTGGAAGGTTTATTAAAAAGTCTCAAAAGACATTTGGACATCAAATAACTCTTAAAAACTCAATGTTTTTGTGATTTAAATGAATAAGAAACATATGGATTAAATTTCCTTTAAATTGCTCGCAAGATTAAAAATCAGGGGAAAAAGTGCTCAGGGCCAAATGTGTTTTGGGTTTTCCAGTCCCAAGTGTGGTTGAAATGGAGCTTGAGTCATGAATAGCACCCACACTGCTGCTGGGGTACCCCCTCCTCAAATCGGTTTGAGGACTAGAGTTTTATTCACAGAGCATTTGCTCTCACTCAGCCAAGCAACCGCACAGACCACCGAACACAACCATAATAACAAACATCAATAATTAAAATATCTGCTAATTTGCAGCTAGCCAAAAACAAATAGCGCACTTCAAAGTCAAGCTAAAGATGGCTCTTTTTAAAATTCTGCAGACTCTGAAAGTGATTAAAAGAGAAATTACGTCTGAGAAAGGAGCGGCTTCAAGTGTTATTTAAAAGTGGGCAGGGATGGACTTTCCAACAGCCAAGCCAGCTTGAGCAGCAACTCAGCTCTGGGCTTGTCATCCTTGGGCTCAGATACCAACTGAAATTCATCTGTGAGGGTTCTAAACTAAAAGCCAGAGAAGACCAACTTTGCAGTCACGGTGTGGATGAGCCTGGAAGCTTAGTTGTCCACCAGAGGGGGTCTTCATTTGGTTTCTGCAACACACCTAACACCTACTCTTGCCAACCTAATTGGCAAGAATCAGTTTGATCCTGTTGGTGACCAAAATATACCTTAAAATGTAAAATGTATGCTTTAATCTGATTGCCTCTTTCATATGTTTTTTTGTTTGTTTGCTTGTTTGTTTTTTTTGGTTAGGGGTCAAATTATTATTATTCTTTTAGAAAATCCCTTGTCTTTTCTTAAAGTCACAATGACTTTTATTTTGTTATTATTTTTTAATTTATTTATTTTTGGTCAGGCCAAATTTGGTATTGCAGGGGATGCGAAATCCTAGTACTCAGACCAGGAATCTAACACATGCCCCCTACAATGGAAGCACAGTCTTAACCACAGGGAAGTCTGCGGGGGTCAAATTATTTGACCCTCTATTTCTGCTTCTTCTATAAAAATAACAGACCCCTTTTTCTTAGTTTACCATTCTTTATCTAGACCCTGGAGGCAAAGAGACCTTTGAAGAAAGGATTGCAAAGTCTGTCTGACCTTGCCTTCTTTTCCTAATCGGCTTTCCTGAAGAAAATTTCCACCCCACTTCCCCTCTACCCCTTCTTGCCCCATGTCCCCAGCTATAATCTTATGGTTTATATTTAGGAATTTTATTACAGTTAGGATTGCATTTATTATCTCCCTTTATTAAGTTTCCCATCAGATCTCTGAAACTCTTATGTTTCAGAAAGTCACTTATTTGTTCAGCAAATGTTTGCTAAGCTCATACTATGTGCTAGGTACTTTTTTTTTTTTTTTTTTTGCAAATCAGACATTTTACTTATTTATTTGTCTGTGCCACAGGGCATGTGGGATCTTAGTTCCCTGACTAGGGTTCAAACCCTTGCCTCCTTCATTGGAAGCACAGAGTCTCTACCACTGGACTGCCAGGTAAATCCTGCCAGGTACATATTTGTTGGAGATACATCTGTAAAGAGTGACAGTAGATGAATAAATAAGTGGATATTCTACAGGAAGAGTCATCACGAAGGACCAAGTGCAGAGTTAGTCCTTATTTTGGTGTTACAGGTGGTGAGTGAATTGAGTGAGGCTGATTCAAGGCAGTTAAATGGCAATCAGTTGATTGACAGGCATATTTTATACTAAGGTGTGGATGACTGATAGCACAACTTAATAACAAAATTTCTTTCTCTTCCTAACCCTAAGAAAAATATCTTTTCCCAAACAAACCTCCAATTGGTGATCTTCAACTAGCATTGGGAAGTCTTTTTGGTAAGAAAACATCAGTTTCTTATCTTGTGCTCTCCAAGTAGCAAAGCTGGCCTTGCTTTCTCTGCACTATTCTGTAACTTATAGATGGTAACTCCATTTGGTCTTAGCTTTCAGCTTTGTAGAGGGCCTTCATTAGGAGTTATTTTAGCCAACCTTCTCTAGATCTTCCTCTGTCTTGCTTTTTTCCATATGTGTTCAAATTTTTGTATATAGGTACAGCAGGTAGTGGTGCTTCCCAGATGGATCAGTAGGTAAAGAATCCACTGCTAATGCAGGAGACACAGGATATGCAGGTTTGACCCTGGGTTGGGAAGATCCCCTGGGGGAGAGCATGACAACCCACTCCAATATTCTTGCCTGGAGAATCCCATGGACAGAGGAGCCTGGTGGGCTATAGTCCATGGGGTCACAAAGAATCGGACACGACGGAAGTGACTCAGCACACATGCACAGCAGGTAATAGTATCAAAGATGAACTTATTCTCAATTTGTTTCTGATTCCTTATGACCAATGACTGTGACTTGTAAATTATCATGCTTGTCACTCTAGGTTACATACATCAATTACGAACCAAAAGGAGGCATCAGCCCTGAGGATTTAACAGGAAAAAAAAAAAATGATGAGCAACCAATGAAGGTCACTGGTCTCAAGGAACACATAATCCTCACTGTATTATTTATTTCAAATTTTCCTTTCCTTTAAAAAATTAAGATAACATTTATATACAGTGATATATATAGATCTTAAGTGAAGTGTAACAATCCACTAAATGTCAATTGATATTTGATATACATGTGTATAGGAATATACCCATTTTGATCAAGAAAAAGAACATTTCCATTACCCCAGAAAAAAATTTTCATGCCCCTTTTCAGTCATATCTACAAGCTATCCCCAAATAGGCAACCACTGTTCTGATTACTATTGCTATAGACCAGTTGACCTGTTCTTGAACTTCATGCAAATGAAATTGTATGGTAGTTACATTTTATGACATCTTTTGTTAAAAATACTATTTTTGAGATTCATCTACCCTCCCTGTATTTTGTGTTTGTTCAATACCTAACAACATGATAAAGAAAAATGTGAAAGGTAAATCAAGAATAGAGTCTAAGCTCATTAATTGCTTGGAGACAATGCATGGTACCGATTTGGTAAATATCCAGATCAAGATTTAGAAACTCTTGGTTAAAGGGATAGATACTTCTCATTTTTATCTCCATGAATCAAACCTTGTAGAAGTAACTGTCGTATTAATGTGTCATCACAATATCTATAATGCCATGACCATGGGTGTATTTCAAAAACTCCAAAGGTACTTCTAAATAACATAACCCAGGTAGAAAGCTACTATCCTGTCATGAGTGTGAGAAAGGCAACGTGAACTTACTGTTCTTTTGGCAGGTTGCAATTTCTACCTGCTTCTTTATGCTGTGAATATCTCACTGTGATTTTAGTGTTTATGATTCATGTTTTATAGACTATACCTTCTAAAAGTCAGCCAACAATTCTATGCTCTGAAGAAGCAGTGACCTGTGTCAGTGGTGAAGAAAAAACAGGGCTGTGTTGGCCACTCCATTGAGGACAACTCCTTAAGGCATGATGAAGGTAGTTTTGACTTTCTATGATTTTTTGCTGTATTAGTCTGAAGGCTGTGCTGTGATAGCGGGTTAATTTTATTTTATTTTTTCTTTGTATTAAGATAGTTTTATTTATTTATTTATTTTTCATTTATTTTTATTATTTGGAGGCTAATTATTTTACAATATGGTAGTGCTTTTTGCAGAATGAATGGAGATGTACTCCTTGTTCAGATTACAAGTCCAATCAAGAGATACACATTGCTCAGATTCTCAAGTTGACAGCTTACTGTGTTTGGATTGGCTGGTCTCTGAGGTCTCCAAAGGAGGGTATGAAGAAAACAAATGCTTTTAAGGACCAGACCTGGGAGTGACTTTCATCAGATCTCAAACTTTGCTGCATCTTAGAATCACCAGGGGAACTTTAAATTTTTTTCAATATCCAAGCTGTGCCCAATACCAATTAAATCAGAATTTCAGGAGGTTGAGATTCATGTATCAGTATGTTTTAAATTTCTCTAGATGACTCCAATGTGTATCTGAATGTAAGACTCAGCAGCTTATATCACTTCTGCTCACACTTCATTGGCCAGCTGTATGTGTTTATATTTATCTCCTCCTTCTTGAGCCCCCCTCCACCCCCATCCCACCCCTCTAGGTCATCACAGAGCAGTGAGCTGAGTTCCCTGTGCTATAACTAGCTAGCTATTTTACACATGGTAGTGTGTATATCGGGGGGGCGACCCTTGGTTAGAATTTTAACCAAGGGACCAATGAATTATTTTAACTTGGATCCGTTATGATGCAGGGCAAGTGTGGATGAGATCAGGCCAATGAGAAAGTCTCTGAGGTCATTTGGGACAAGATGGTGGTGGCCTGGATTAAGGTGGCACAAGAATAGATATGTTTCAGGGAAATTTAAGAGACTGAACACAGGGGTTATAGATCTGAACCATGAATTGCACAGTGGAGATGAGATAAATTTAGTAGGATTCATGTGTTTCTTACATAATCAACCAAATACTGAATGCGGGGAGTCGCGAAGGCAGATATCAGAGGGAAGTGTGAATGACAGTGAAGTGAAGAAATGGAGTAGTGTGCAAAGGTACCACTTTCAAGAAGTATGTTTCAGAATGGTGGGATGTAGGGAGAACTGGGATGCTGACTTGTCTGGTCACTAATAGCACAATATTTTATTTGCCCTTGAATGTTGTCCTTTGTGTCTATAGCTCCTTGGGGAGCCATTCGACAGGAGAAGGTGAATGTTAATTTAGAGTACCTATGCCTCCCTTTATACTTAACTTGAGACTCCTGGCTTATTCAACTGTCTGCCTATCTTAAAATCCATATCATGTAAAGAAGAGTAAAAAGTTCAGTATACTCAATATATGAAATAAAAAGAACCAAAACACCCTCTTGACTGAGTTGGCTTTGTCCTGGCTAAAAGGCATTGACTCAGGAAAATTCTCTTGTAAACCTTTGCTTTCCATTCTGGTCCAGGAAAATGTTGTCTTACGTGCCTCAACATTTTGAATGGAAATTTGGAAATATTGACCCAGGGAGTAGTCTACCAATGTTTTTGAAATCTACCCTCACCCTGTGACCTTACCACTAGATCAAAAGACATTGAATCTTTCTTCTCAATGCTTACTAAATAATCTGGTATATAGTAATTGTTTTAATGATTTTTTTGGCTGTGACCTACATCGGTGGCTATTTCCCAGGGTTCTCTGAGTGGCTGGTGGACAAGTCAACGCAAGAATGTTCTCAGGCTGGTTCTCTGCTTCTAACCTTCCAAGGAGCAAATTTTCTCTACTCTTAATATTTTTTTGTAACTGATGTGTAATTCATTTACCATGAAACTCAACCCTTTAAAATATGCAATTCCATGATGCCGGTATATTCAAAAGGTTATTCAACTAGTGAATTTCATTACCTAAATCCAGAACATTTTCATCACCCTAAGAAGGTCCCCAAATCCATTAGGAGTCCCTCATTAGTCCCACCTCCTACATGGTGGCAACAACTAATTTGCTTTTTATCTTTATGGATTTGCTTCTTCTAAACACTTCTATTTGGAATCATACCTTATGTAGCCTTTCATGTCTGGCTTCTTTCGCTACACAATGTTTTCAGAGTTCACTCATGCTACATGGAATATAAGTACTTCATTCCTTTTTAAGGCAGAATGATATTCTGTCGTATGGATATACCACATTTTATTTATCCACTGTCGGTGGATGGCCTTTTAGGTTGTTTGCACATTTTGGCTGTTATAGAAAATGTTTCATTGTTCTCACAGTTTTCAGAATAGTTGGCAAGTAGACAGGTACCCTTCAAGTTACAGAAGGCTCACAGAACAGCTGGGTTAACCAAACTCTTAAGTCCCATTTCCTTTTGATTTCCTTCACAAACCTACAGATGTCTTGCTTCTAGGTAGAAAAGACTATCAAGGCAAAAAAATCTTGCTAAAATATAGTGAACTTTTCTCTTTAATTAATTCAAAGCAAGGGGAAAACTAGAACAAATCCAGTCACAATGCAGCTCATTTTGTGGACAGCTACAATAAAAAAATCTCTAAATTTCCAGGTTTCCCTCAATAGGAACAGGTGGTCAGGAATCTGCCCAATTTTAGTAGGAGGATGTGTTTTCTTTTCTAAGCAGGAAACAGGAAGAAGGGAGAGAAAAATTGTTGATTGCACCAGTGACTTACATGACACTTCAGTTCCTCCAGCTGATTCAGTTTCTAGTGTTTTCAGACTCTTGAACTCAAGTCCTTCTGATAATGCCAAAGGCTCCCCATTCTGAGATGATACATTTTTGTATGGATCTCTCTTGGACACAGATTATTCATGTTTGTGTATTAGTTGCTAAGTCGTGTCCAACTCTTGCAACTCCATGGACTGTAGCCCACCAGTGCTCTTCCATCCATGGGGATTCTCCAGGCAAGAATACTGGAGTGGACTGCCATTCCCTTCCCCAGGGTATCTTCCCAACCTGGGGATCACACCCTGGCCCGATCTGGGGATTGAACCTGGTCTCCTGCGTTGCAGGCAGATTCTTTACCATCTGAGCTACAAGAATCTGCCTGCAATGTGGGAGACCTGGGTTCGATCCCTGGGTTGGGAAGATCCCCTGGAGAATGGAACAGCTACCCACTCCAGTATTCTGGCCTGGAGAATTCCATGGACTGTATAGTCCTTGGGGTCATAAAGAGTTGGACACAACTAAGTGACTTCCACTTTCAAGAGTACCTTATATTCATGTTTAGGTCTTCCCAACCTGAACCACGACTTCCCTAAGCCAGCCCAAGTTAGTCTCATCTCTGTCCCTTGTCCTGTGCCAAAATATGGGAAGATTTGTTTTTTTTTGGCTATGTAGCTTTCCTTGAGATTTGATCTCAGTCATGGTATCTTATCTTTTCCTAAGGCTGCAGCTTCCAAACTGCTTCAGGAGGCAGGCCATCATGGATAAGTACAGAGACTGGTAAGTGGACATCAGGTTGCAAGCTTGGAGCCCAAAGAGCATGTACCACTTTTGCACATTCCAATGTTTGAGGGTGCACAATTGCACGAGCAAACGGAGCTGCCCACAACTGGCTAATTGCAGAGGCAATCATCACCCTGGCTCCTTCCAAATGAGCAGAGAGCAGCTAATTGTGCTCACAATTGGCTGATTGAGCTCACAGTCAGTAAATTGCTGCTGTAACTGTTTGTGCATACAATTTTGCACCTGGGAGTAACTGCGGGCGATGGGGTCTAACACACTTTGAAAGAACATTAAACAGTACAACATCCAAGAAATCCAATCCCGTCCAGCCAGCCTGGGGAATTTGAGCTGGGGAGGGGAGACGCACGTCTTAAATTGGAGTTGGGGTATCTCAGACTCTGAAGCTAAGCCCCAGGGTACACATTACAACTTAGCGCTCTGCTCCTACCACTTCATATATCTCTGGCTTCACACTCAGAGCTCACTGCTCAGCCAGCAAAACATCTCAGTCACAGGAAGGGTCAGAGAGTGTCGTGCTTAGAACAGGAGTTCTGAACTCAGGATACCATGGTTCAGATTTGAGATTTTCCACTTTTCTGCTGGGGAGCCCTGGCAAGCTTTAATTTTTTTAATCTGTAAAATGATAGTGGTGGTGATAAAAGTACTCAGGTCATAGGCTTGCTGTGCAGATTAAATAAAAATGATGCCTGAAAATCGTGACTACACAGATTTACTCAGTGAATGTTTTATTTATTTACTTTTTGATTCACAGTATCAATCAAAATTTGGACATCATTGCTACCCCATGGACTGCCTTCAGTTCAGTTCAGTTCAGTTCAGTCACTCAGTCGTGTCTGACCCTGTGACCCCATGAATCACAGCATGCCAGGCCTCCCTGTCCATCACCAGCTCCCAGAGTTTACTCAAACTCATGCCCATCAAGTTGGTGATGCCATCCAGCCATCTGATCCTCTGTCGCCCCCTTCTCCTCCTGCCCCCGATCCCTCCAAGCTTCAGGGTCTTTTCCAATGAGTCAACTCTTTGCATGAGGTGGCCAAAGTATTGGAGTTTCAGCTTTAGCATCAGTCCTTCCAATGAACACCCAGGACTGATCTCCTTTAGGATGGACTCGTTGGATCTCCTTGCAGTCCAAGGGACTCTCAAGAGTCTTCTCCAACACCACAGTTCAAAAGCTTACACTCTGATTTTTCTGACAATTGCTGATACATTGGTGTTAGCAATAAAGGGATTTTTGTTTTTCTCCTTGCTAGCTACAGGACTCTGGCCAAGTTGCTGAATTTCTGTAAGCCACAGTTTACCAATCTGCAAAATAGGGATAAACATGTCCTCACAGGTAGATAGGCAGCCCTGTCTCATGAGGCTGTTGTGAGGATTAAATAAGACAATGTAAGTGAGGGGTTGCTTCCTAAACATTTTGTAAGTGCTACCTTCTGCTGTTTTAATTACTATTATGAGGTGCTGGAGAAGATGCTTGAGAGTCCTTTGGACAGCAAAGAGACCAAACCAGTCAGTCCTAATGGAAAACGACCCTGAATAGTCATTGGAAGGACTGAAGCTGAAGTTCCAATATTTGGCCACCTGACTCAATGAGCCGACTCATTGGAGAAGACCCTGGTGCTGGGAAAGATTGAAAGCAAAAGAAGAAGGAGGCAGCAGAGGATGAAGTGGTTAGATAGCATCACCGACTCAAATTTGGACATGAGTTTGAGCAAACTCCGGGAGACAGTGGAGGACAGAGGAGCCTGGTGTGCTGAGTCCATGGAGTGGCAAAGAGTCAGATACAACTTACTGAATAACAACAATAAAGCTCTGTGAAAGGAGAACGGCCCCAGGGTTGGCATTTGGGGGACTTTTAGCCAATACTATTATGTAACCCAGGCCCACCCACTGCCCTGACTGGGTGGATCGTTTTAGACAGAAAGGAGGTATGTGAGTTCTGTGGCAGGCTGTCAAGCTTCGGCCCTTCCCAGATCTATGTGAGGAGACAAGTAAGGTTTGAACCCAGAGAGATGCAGGGCCCTGATCCTTATGTGAGCCTTGCCCTGGCTTATTTCTTGGTCCTTGATAGAGATGATTTTATAGGGTTCTTACTCTCAGCAAGAGAAAAGAGATAAGGACAAGCTTTGGCAGGATCCGGAAATTAATCCAGGGGAGGCAGACATTGTGTCTCTAAATGTAATTGAATCTCCCTGGTGTCTGGTGGGGGCGGGGGATGGAGCGCAGACCTTCTGACTTTAATGTCTGCGGGGGTGGGGTGTGGGACACGGACGGAAGGGAAGGGATGGGGGCGGGGTTGCTGCACTGCCTGGGGCTAAGCCGGCTCCCAGGCCACGGCTTCTTTCTCTTTCCTCTCCAGGGCTGCCACCACTCATCCTGTCCCTTCGGATGTTCCTGGCACCTGATACAGCTACAGTTTGGGGGGCACACTCCCCCTCCCTTGCTGTCCAAGGATGCAAGCTCCTGGGTCTCTTTATGGTAAACTGGACTTTACTGCTGATCCATAGGGATGCAGGCAAAGGTGAGGGGCCAAGATTTTAGAATCCTAGCAGATTCTCTAGCATTGCTTTAAAAATTTTCTTTTTGGAGTAGGAAATGGCAACCCATTCCAGTATTCTTGCCTGGAGAATCCCACAGCCAGAGGAGCCTGGTGGATTACGGCCCACGGGATCGCAAAGATTTGGACACAACTGACCAACTAAGCATGCACGCAAAGAAGGGGATAGCAGGAAGTCAGACTGTATCTGCCCGTCCCACCGTCCCTTCTGAGGGGGTATGAAGGGGAGCACGAGGGGTGGAACTCTTTGTATCCTGATAGTGGTGGTGGGTACATGAACTTTTACATGTGTTAAAACTCATAGAACCGTGTACTAAACAAAAGTCAGTTAAAAAAAAAATAAAAAAAAATAAAAATTTTCTTTTAAATTTATCTTATTTTTCTTATTAGTATTGTTATTTTAACTGCACTGGGTCTTCATTGCTGCACAGGCTTTTCTCTAGTTGCAGCGTGCGGGGGATGTTCTCTAGTTATGGTGCGCAGGCTTCTCATTGGGGTGGCTTCTCCTGTTGCAAAGAACGGGCTCTAGAGCGTGGGCTGAGTAGTTGTGATGTACAGGTTTAGTTGCCCTGCAGCATGTGGGACCTCCCCAAATCAGAGATTGAACTACTTCATTGCAAGGTGGATTCTTAGCCACTGGACTACCAGGGAAACCCTAGCACTGCTTTTTGTTTCCAACTCATATGTGATGTGTTAGTTTGCTAAGATCACCAGAGTAAAGTACTACAGGCTGAGTGCCTTAAATGACAGATATTTATTTCTCACCTTCCTGAAGGGCTAGCAGTCAGCATATTAATATCTGCAGGTTGGGTTTCTCCTGAGGCCTCTCTCCCTGGTTTGCATACGGTGACTTTTGGCTGTGAGATCACATGTCTCTTTCTCTGGGCAAGCGCATCCCTTGTGTCTTTTTGTGTGTACAAATTTCCTTTTCTTTTGAGGACACCAGTCAGACTGGATTAAGGCCCACCCTGAAGACTTCATTTTAATTTAACCACCCCTTTTACCTGTATTTCCAAATATGGTTATATTCTCAGGTACTGGGGACAAGGGCTTCATCATATGAATTTGGGGGGGAACACAGTTATGCACATAAATACTTGAATGGTAAATTGCTCCAGTTGTGTCTGACTCTGTGACCCTATGGACTGTAGCTTGCCAGACTCCTCTGTCCATGGAATTCTCCAGGCAAGAATACTGGAGTGGGTTGCCATTTCCCATTTGTCCTCCAGGGGATCTTCCCAACCCACGGATTGAACCATTATCTCTTAAGTCTCCTGCATTGGCAGGCAGATTCTTTACCACTAGCACCATTTGGGAAGCCCTATACAAATACATGGGATTCTCAGAATTCCCAAGAAATGTTCTCTCCTTAGAGATAAAAGCAATTGCACCCAGACCCCAACTCAGCCAATGGTAGTTGTGTGATCTCCTTACACAAGGCACATAACTCAGCTTCATAGTTAGGGTGACAACAAGTCTCAATTTGCCCGGAATTTTTTGTTTATATCTGTTGTCCCAACATAATTATAAGAGAACCCTCTTTCATTCTTAAATGAAATCCTGGTTTGAATGATAAATTGTGTGATCACTCTTCATTACTTTCAGATCTGAATCACAAGATGATCAGGGTTTTCAGGGGATGCTGGAGAAGTACCCCTAAAACCACCTGGTACTTAGTAAATGTGACTGTACCTTTTGCATGCACCTTCCTATTCTCCAATCCCAATTCCCCTGATCAGGAAGGCTCCTTTTGCTTGTGGAACTCTGTCCTCAGGATACAGCCTGAGATGATGTCAAGGTAGACCAGTAAGCCTGGACCACTGTTCATCCAAGCCCACCCCTTCCATATGTAACTGGCATTTTAAGGCCCTCTAGACCAACAAAGGTCCATCTGGTCAAGGCTATGGTTTTTCCAGTAGTCATGTATGGATGTGAGAGTTGGACTGTGAAGAAAGCTGAGTGCCGAAAAATTGATGCTTTTGAACTGTGGTGTTGGAGAAGACTCTTGAGAGTCCCTTGGACTGCAAGGAGATCCAACCAGTCCATCTTAAAGGAGATCTGCCCTGGGTGTTCATTGGAAGGACTGATGATGAGGCTGCAACTCCAATACTTTGGCCACCTCATGCAAAGAGTTGACTCATTGGAAAAGACCCTGATGCTGGGAGGGATGGGGGCAGGAGGAGAAGGGGAAAAAAGAAGATGAGATGGGTGGGTGGCATCACTGACTCGATGGGCATGAGTTTGAGTAAACTCCGGGAGCTGGTGATGGACAGGGAGGCCTGGCATGCTGTGATTCATGGGGTCGCAAAGAGTCAGACGTGACTGAGGGACTGAACTGAACTGAACTGAGACTGGGTGAAAGCCACGTTAAGGGGCCTCTGCTACCCTAGAAAAATTTTCATTTCTATCATCAGTATTGGCAGTACAAGTACACTCGATTGGATTAAAATTTCTTGACTACAAGCAACAGAAACATCATCTTGATTAAATGGAAGAAAGTGAGGAAAGAACCTAATTATAAAAGTAGTTTGCAGAATCAAAGGAAAAATTAAGCCACCAAGCCTCAGAAAGAAGAGGGCCTAGAATGGTTCCTGTGGTTGTTGGTTCAAGGGTGAATGGGCACTATTTTTAGATAAATTAAAAATACACAGAAACATAATGTAATGTAATATAATATGTACACAGAAATAATAAATAAACAGTAATCTCCCTCCCAATTCAGTTTTGTTAACAGTATTCATTTGCTGTATTTGCTATTTGCTTTTGGTAGAGTTTCCATGATTATTTTATTGTTATTATTTAGTTCTTGTTTTGTTTGACTGAATAAACAAGCAAAACTCATTTAATTTCCCAGGCTCCAATCCTATTCCCTCTACTGTTCAGAGGTAAACAATGGTGTGGGCTTGTGCCTCCTTCCAGGGTTCCTAATTTACGTGCATTTCTAAGACCAATATGGCAGACAAGTCCCTCTCTTGGCCCTGCTGTCTGTATAACTCATGTCCCTAGAACCAGGTTCTGATGGGCATGATCTCTGTCACATGCCTACTCTCAGGGCCACTCATAACTTTTATGGAGTTGGAGCTGTGAGGCCTTTGTGGGCTCAATTTTCCATCAGAAAAAAAATTGAGAGTTCTATTTTACTACTGTGTTGTTATAAGGACAAATATAATACAGTCTGGTTTATATCCTTTTTTTGTTTTTCTCTTGATTTCCAGAGATCACGGTGTTCCCTGGGCTCCCAGGGAACGTTGTGGGCAGTAGACTCAGTACCTGTTTTGACTTATGGAGGAGTTGGCCACACCCGTTCTTGAGGTCATTCAAGGAAAAGGCAAGGCCTGCGGTTGGCATTCCCCATAGACACACACGAAATCCTGCTTCCCTGACGTAATGACGCTGAGAAGATAAAATCAGGGTGTTTCCACAGAAGCCCTCTAGGGGTCTCAGGGCTGGAGCCCAAGGTTTAGGTGCCAACCTAGCCTTGTTATGCCACAGGCCCAAGCTTATCCTAAGAAATTCTACGTTCTTCCCTTGAGCAGACTCCAGGCTGGGTCAGGCTCCCGGAGGGGTACATCTTCCCATTTGTGACTTTCAGACATCCTTGATCACATGTGGTGGCCTTGAGGATTGTTTTCTAGAGCTTTCACTGGGAAAGCCTCTCCTCCCTGTCCACCTGTATAAGTTTCTTCACTTGCTCATTTAAGGAACGAGGACTGCAGCCCTGTGCTATTTCCCAGACACTCTGTGATGTCTCTTAGAGCTCAGAGATTAATGAGGTCACACCTGGACCCTGAAAGGCATCACAGTATCAAGTGGAAACAGACCACTTCTTGAAGTACATGTGGCATGATGTAGTGAGGACATGGGGTAGCTAGAGGCCATCCTTGGTTCTCCCTATTACAGAGGAGATCTAACCCCTTCTGCTCCTTCTGGCTCAACCCATCTTTGGGAGGTCATATTGGCTAGGACCCATTCTCTCTCCCTTGACTTCTTTTTCAGCAAGTAATAAACCCTATCTTATCAATTCTATGCTGTGCATATTTTAAAAGCCATTTACCAAATCTGAAAATGGGTTATGATTGATTGCCTCTTATAAACACTTTTGGCCAGGTAACAGTTGGAACATAGCTGTCATTGCCCTCACATACATAAACCTGGTCTGAAAACTCTTTGTTGATACTTTCTGATAAGATCAGGAGAGTGTCTGCAAGTCACTTGCAGAGTAGGGGTGGTCAGTAACCTGGAAGAAGACCCCAGAGACTGTAGCTCTTAACCAGTAGTATTGCATATAATTTTTTATGTATGCCAAGAGCCATAAAAATAAATCTAAAGGAGTGTTTTAATAATTAGAAAATAAAATTTCTAAGGCATCAGGGAATACTGTGCCATGATTTAATTGGTGGCATTTTTTTTCTTTCTTAATAGTGCATAAAATAATGATGTCTTTAATCAATGATGACTTAGATTTGATAAAATAAGTCATAACTACAAACCTCATGGGGGCTCCAAGGGGATCACTGTATTTTTTTAAACATATAGCATGGTGTCTGCTGGCCCTTAGTGGATATCATATGTATATATGGGCTATCTAACATAATTATTTAAAATATATGCACAAAAGAATGAAAGGAGGGAAGACAATACACTAGTAATAGACCTAGACTATCTTTCTATTTCCTAGGACTTTAATTGCAGATACCACCAGGACTTTTCCTGAAAGCAGGGGTTGGCCAACTTTTCCTGTAAAGGGCCAGGAGCCTAAATATCATATATTTTAGGTTTTTTGGGCCGTATAGTTTTCGTTACAACTGCTCAACTCTGCTGTTTTAGCATGATAGCAGCCATAGGCGATATGCAAACAAGTGGCTGTGGCTGTGTGCCAATAAAACTTTATTTACAAAAACAAGCAGCTGACAGTGTTTCACTCATGAGCCACACTTTACCAACTGCTGTGTGTGTGTGCATGCAAGAGCGCTCAGTTGCTCAGTCCTGTCTGACTCTTTGCAACCTCATAGACTGTAGCCTGCCAGACTCCCCATTTCCCAGGTAAGAATACTGAAGCAGGTATTCCTATTCCAGGTGATCTTCCTGACCCAGGGAGGGAATCCATGTCTCTTGTATCTCCTGCATTGGCAGGTGGGTTCTTTACTACTGAGCTACCTAAGAAGCCCACCAACTGCTCTAAAGCAGTGGTTTTCAACCGTGAGTGTGCACAATAAGGTTAAATTTCAGATTCCCAAGCCCTCCTCCTGATGGCTCTAATAAAGATAGCGATCATTTTCTTTGAGAGACACTTCTAAAATATTTTGATGAATTAGTTACCTTTGGGAGGTATCTGCAACTCTTCTAGAAAAACTCTTCCTGGAATATAGGGCAAGAGCCACAACAAGCAGAGGCCAGAATTTCTTGATATCCTATTTACCCTGGCATAAGTACTTTCCCTTTATTTGGATGGTATCTGGGATAGTCTTTGTATTATTAGAAGTTAAATTGAATGGGAGGATTAGACAGTTGTTTTAAGAAGACAGATGTCTCATCACCCACCCAGGTTAAAAGATAAATGGTCTGAAAATGAAATTATACCCCTTTAGTTCTTTGGTCAAGAGGAGAGTCCTCATTCTAATGGGTAACGAGAGTCCCAGAGGCCAGGACTGGGCCCAGGCTGGGGTTGCAGTGAGAGAAGATACCACTGCAGACCAAGCCTTGTCCACTGATGCCAGAGTCTGATGCGGCTGCCACATGTGCATGTCTGTGCAGGCCCGCATCAGGGAAACAGTCGATTCAGAGGAACTAGCCAGGCATCTCTTCAGTGAGCCTATTCCAGTGGTGACTTCTTTTTCAGAGAACAAAGCCCTCTTGAATTTGTTAGTTTATTTGTTCAAGAGACAAGTAAATGGTTTTGAAATATCTGTGTGAGATTTTAATCTGGTTAATTGTCTTTAAATACCTCTTGCCTGGGGATATTAACCTTTTCAATACTAGAGTTTGTCAGGGAAATGCAGGGAATGAGAAATCATTTGGTAATATAATAATGGTAATATTTATGTACAGGGGATAAAACCAAGACCTTCCATGCATTGATTCATTCAGCTCTTAAAGCAACTCCCAGTGTAGGTTCTACAGTTATCCCCGAGAACCAGAGACTCTGAGAATTTAGGTAGCTACGCAGGGCTACCGGAGAAGGCAATGGCACCCCACTCCAGTACTCTTGCCTGGAAAATCCCATGGATGGAGGAGCCTGGTGGGCTGCAGTCCATGGGGTCGCGAAGAGTCAGACATGACTGAGCGACTTCACTTTCACTTTTCACTTTTATGCATTGGAGAAGGAAATGGCAACCCACTCCAGTGTTCTTCCCTGGAGAATCCCAGGGATGGGATCCCAGGGATGGGGTCGCACGCAGTCGGACATGACTGAAGTGGCTTAGCAGCATGCAGGGCTACAACTAGTAAGCATCAGAGCCACGACTGAAGTCCAAGAGGAGAAACCAGGATTCACACACTGACTGAGGTTGGGCTTACCCTGAAGGATATGATCTCTAGGATGAGGATGAACAAAATCTGGGTTCTCTTATTAAAGGAGAAGGAAAATGGCTGAATAGGTAATTGACAGTGTTGCTAAAAGCGGGAAGCAGTGTGGCACCCATTTATTCAAGGTAAAATCTGAGGTATTGTGCCACTTAGACTGGGAAACAAACTAAATGCCAAGGGCTGAGAGAATGTACAGTAAGTGGAGTTTTTGTATACAGCTGGCAGGAGTGCAAAATTAATCCAGCCTCCCTGGCAGATGGTGTGGTGGTTTCTTAGAAAGTTACACACTCACCATGGCACTTAGGAATCCTAATCCTAAGCATTTACCTAAGAGTGATGAAAAGAGATGTTAACACAAAAACCTGTGTATGAAGGTTTATAGTAGATTTATCATGCCGAACTGGTAACAACCCAAATGTTCATCAGCTGGTGCATAGATAAACAAGTTGTGGTACATCCATACAATAAAATACTGTTTGATCATGAGGAGTGAATAGCTGATACACTTAACAATGTAGATGAATCTCAAATGCCTTATGCTAAGTGAAAGCAGCAAGACTCACAAGGTGAAGCTGCAGGATTCCAAAGGCAAAGGCAAAACCATAGAACAGAAACCAATCAGTGGTTTCCAGGGGTAGGAGTAGCGCTGTCTACAAAGGGACAGAAGGGAATTTGTTGGGGGGTGATAATGGAGCCATTCTGTATCTTGATGGTGGTGGTGGTTACACAACTGTGGACTTGCCAGATTTCATGAAATTGTACACCAAAAGATGAATTTCACACTATATTAAAAATGTATCTTAATAAATTTCACTATAGTGAAGTCATGGATATCTTGTATCTTGGGATACCTGATGAAGGACCATCTCCTGAGCTATTATCTGATGGAGCCATCCAGTTTAGAAGCACAGTATATAATTCCAGAGAGCAGGCAAAGGGGGCTCCATGATAAGCCCACCGATCAGACCTCATGCCTGCCTCACAGAGTCCAGGCTTTTGATACCAAGTCTGTACCCCATGTGTAGTTGGTCAAGTCCTCATCAAGAATGGTTCAGGAACTGGAAAAGCACTAAATCTGCAAACAGGTGATGAGATAAAGTCCAGCTGAAGCAGTCTGGGGAAGATAAAACCTGACAGCTGAGCTGATGTTCTGACCGAGGTCCTGTGTGTCCCAGTCTCCCAGTACGAGATACAGAAACAGAGATACAGGCAATATGAAGTAGTGATGTGCTCAGGTGCTCTCTCTGTTGGGACAGCATTTCTATAAGCCAACCAAGCGTGACCATTTCTAACTAGGAAAGTGCCTTCCGATAATGAACTATCTTCTATGCACACCTCTCAATGAACTTACTTCATCTTTATCAGTTAAATTCCCCCTATTTCCCTTTTCCGGTAACTGACAAGGATCTATTTTCTCTTTATTCCATGTGAAGGAGAGGGATTTTGGAGGCTGAGAGTGGTACGAGTGGGATTTGATGTCACCATCCTCATGATTTAGGTCCCCCACTTCTGTCTCCATGACTGCTGGGCCTTGGCAAAATCTCTAACCTCGGATTTTCCCCAAATGCATAATAAGGAGAAGGGTCTTTACTTATTTATGATGAACTCTGTTACTTGCATGAGAGATGTTCCAATGTAAGTGTTATTACAAGGCCCAATTTACTGTCCAGAAAGAAGCAATCCTGATAGAAATCTTTCATTTAATTAAAATTGATTTTAAAATTGCCTGATCAATAGTGAGTTAAAAATTCATCCTGGCTCATTGAGGGGTGGGGGTGAGGTCCTGAATGTCCTGAGTGGAGAGGTTTTGGCTTGAGAGGCGGGCTGGGCTTCCCTGGCCTTGCTTAACTGGCCAAAGTCTGGTGGCTTCCCCTGTGGTCCAGATGGCCAAGCCCTCCCTGAGAGAGGGAGGACATGTGGAAGAATCAACTCTCATTTCTTGCTTTTTGAGCAGGAAAGCTCTAAAAATGCAACCAGCCATTTTAGTTAAGCCCAAGCCATTTCATTTACTGGGAACCAATAAAAAAATTTACTTCCTTACTTTTGGACACATTTCCTTAAAAGTTGTCTCCTATAGGTACTCCTGCTGTATCCAGTCACTCCTGTCAGAGAAGCTGGCACTGTGTCCTGCCCTCCCAAACCCACCACCTCCATGTGCCATCATCTGCTGAAACTTGTCAGTTCAACCCCTGCCTTATCTGTCTTTTTCCATCCCCATGGCTCCTGTCCTGGGTCAAGCCCCCTTCACCTCTCACCTGGAACATTTTAATAGATGCCATGCTCATCTCCCTGGCTATAGTTGCCCACCTGTCTAATCCACCCTCTGTGCTCTGACTTGAGAGATCTCCTTAAAGCAAGGTCATCTTGGGTCACTACTGCTCAAAAATCTATGATGATTCCGATTTTAATACAGAATTAAGCCCAAATGCCCCAGTGGGCATCCTGAGACATCTACAATCAAGCAAGTAATGCCCTTTCCAGCAAGTAATGGCCTTTCCAGCAAGTAACATCTGCTACGTGTCTACCAGGAGGATGCTACTCTC